TACTATGGGTCAGAATTGATTCAGTGGCACTTAAAGTGTTCAAGAACAAACAAGTCAGTTTGAGGACTAGAGTACACCTGACCCAAGCCATGATATTTTCTGTAGCCTCATATACATGCGAAATTTGGGCAATGATGAAGGTGAACCATAGGAGATTTGATGTATTTGAGTTACGATGTTGGAGAAGAATATTAAGAGTACCATGGACTCCCAGAATAGCAAACAAATCTTTTCGTAAGTATAACCAGAATGTTGTTTGGAAACTGAGATGGCCATTCTTCATCTCTTACTTTAGACATATTATCAAGAGTGACCAGTACCTAGAGGACATCATGCTTGGTAAAGTGGAGACCCCTGACAAGATGGATTGGCATAGTGGGAGCCACAATGGGCTCAAACATAACAGCAATTGTAACAATGATGCAGGACCAAACAATGCTTCATTGTGTTGTAGATAGGGTCACTTAAGGTCAGAGCTGGAATCCTGGTGTTGCTCTGCATGTAAATGCGCTTGATTGCAAGGTCAGTTTGAATCACAAGGTCAACAGTTCAAGCTCACCAGCCACTCCTTGGAAACTCTATACAGGGTTGCTGAGTTGGAACTGACTCTGTGGCACTTAACAACAACAGCAAGGGTTGGAACTGGCTTGATGTCACCAACACCACCAATATATGTGTGTATACACACACACACATACACACACACACATATATATATACATATAAATACATATACATATATATATGTGTGTGTGTGTGTGTGTTTGACAGAGGATATTTCTACATGTGTATTTACCTATGGCAAAAATGTCAGCTTGAGAATTAAGTTGCACTTGACACATGGCATTTTCAATAACCTCATATGCATGCAAAAGCTGGACAGTGAATAAGGGAGACCATGGAAGAATTGATGCATTTGAGTTATGGTGTTGGAGAAGAATATTGAAAGTGCCTTGGGCTGCCAAAAGAACCAGTAGAGCCGTTTTGGAAGAAGTGCAGCCAGAGTGCTCTTTAGAGGCCAAGATGGCCAAACTTTGTCTCTCATACTTTGGACATATTGTCAGGAGAGACCAGTTGCTGGAGAGGGATATCATGTTTGGTAAGGTGGGTAGTCATAGAAAAAGAGGAAGACCACCAATGAGATGGATTGGCAAAGTGGCAGCATCAATGGACTCAAGCATGGTAACAATTGTGAGGTTGGCCCAGGACCTGGCAGTGTTTTTTTTTTTTTTTTTTTTTTTTGTACATAGGGTTCCTATGAGTCGGTACCACCTCGATGGCAGCTAAGAACAACGAATGTACATATGGTACCCTAGTCTGGCACTCTAGGATAAGCACTGGACTGCTAACTCTAATGTCAGTGATTTAGATCCACCAGCCACTCCTCAAAAGCCTATACAAAGTTGCTATAAACTGAAATCAACTGGACAGCCCTTAATAACAGCAATCGCCATATTTACCTATGGGGTAAATATATCCATGAATATAGTAAAGCATATAAGGTGCAAAAGAGCCCTGGTGGTGCTGTAGGATAATAACTGGACTGCTCACCTTAAAGTCAGCCATTTAACCCCACTTGCTGTTCCACAGAAGAAAGACGAAGCTTTGTGCTCCCATAAAGATTTACAGCCTCGGGAAGCCTGTACCTTGACTTGATGGCAGTGGGTTTGATAAAGTGCAAAGTCATGAAAACATCTTAGACATCATCATACACCTTGAGAGAATGAGTCACTGGGCATGGGCACTTGACATTGAGGGACATCAATGTCAAGTGGCATAACAGTCCACAAAGACTATGTTCTACATCCTACTTTGGTTAGTAGTGACTAGGATCTTTAAAGCTTGTAAGCAGCCACATAGCATGTAACTATTGGTCTGTCCCCATCAGGAGCAAATAAGAGTGAATAAAGTTGAAGGCATATGAAAATGATTAATTCAGTGGAGTAATGGACCACATAAACATCAGCCTCCATGATCATGAGATCAGAAAAACTGGATAGTGCCCTACCAATAATATTTGTTGTTCTACAAAGGATGGTATTTGAAAGTCCTGTGGAGATTAGGAGAAAAATGTGGAACAAAATTTGAAATCATAAGAAATATCAGGCTTACAGTTGGATAGAGAGTGTAGGAACCCAGAGAGTATGGCCCTTAGTCACCTTTCAGGTCTGGAAATGAACTCATCTCCTAGCTAAGTTTTCACCCAAACAATAGACTGGTTAACAAGGGGAACAATAGGGAGGTACGTACTCTGTAAAATAATCAACGATTTGAGATCAAATGAGCATCATATGCCTAGGGAAAAAAGGGAGGAATGGAAACTGGAAACACAGGAAGAAGTAGAATAAATGGTGTTACATTTGTGTGACTAGCAATTAATGGCATGAAATACAATGTCTATGAATTATTGAATGGAGAGCTGATTTGCTCTGTAAAGCTTCACTCACTTCACAATTAAAAAGGTAAAAAAAAAAACCCAAAAAACAGAGATTCTAAAAATGTTTAATTTCTTTACATGGCCATCTGCAAACTTCACAATTAGCCTCACCTTTAACAGATACTGTCTCTAATCATCTCAAGGAGCTCTGGTAGTGTAGTGGTTACGAATTGGGCTGCGAACCTTAAGGTCAACAGTTTGAAACTACCAGCTGTTCCGTGGGAGAAAGATGAGGTTTTCTGCTCCTGCAAAGATTTACAGCCTCGGAAACCCTGTACAGGGTCGCTATGAGTCGGAATCAACTTCACGGCACATCACCACCACCACCAATCATCTCAAATATTTCCCTCTATAAGGAGTTCTGGTGTAATGCTATAGAATAAGCACTGGACTGCTAATCACAAGGTTGGTGGTTCAAACCCACGAGTTTCTCCTTGGAAACTCTACACAGGGTTGCTATGAGTCAGAACCGACTTGATGACATTTAACAGCGACAACAACATTTAAAGTACACTGAAATCATAAATAAATTTAAGTTAATTATGGCACTGGACTGCTACCGATAAAGTCAGTGGTTCAAACATACTGATCACTCCTTAGAAACCCAACACAGGGTCACTATGATTTGGAAACGACTCAACAGTTCTTAACAACAACTGTAATTCGAGGCAATAATGTTCTTTGTTTCAGTGGAGAAACCACACCTTTCTCTAGATTCTCATTGTACCTTTGCCTTTCTAAGGGAGACAAAATACTTTCTCTAATAAGGTATAATATGTACACACTTGTAATATCTTTTCATATAGATGAAAAGATAATACATATGCAAGTATTAAGTGGCTCCTTAAAGGCAAAGACCATAACTTATACATTTGTCTCATCTATAATTAAATTCAAAGGAGCTCTGGTAGCGTAGTGGTTATGAATCGGGCTGCGAACCGCAAGGTCAGCAGTTCGAAACTACCAGCTGTTCCGCTGGAGAAAGATGAGGCGTTCTGCTCCTGTAAAGATTTACAGCCTTGGAAACCCTGTACAGGGTCGCTATGGGTTGGAATCGACTCGATGGCACTTACCAACAACAACATAATTAAATTCAGTGCTTTGAATTTAGCATGTATTTAGTATTATTAAACATAAATGATTATATATAGGATATGTTTGTTTAAAGGATTTTATAGAAAAAGAAGTCCTGGTATGGTGCTATAAGATAAGCACTGGACTTCTAACTATAAACCCATCAGCTGCTCCTCAGAAATCCTATACAGGAGAACCATGAGTTGTAACCAATTCCATGACACTTGACAATAACATAGAAAGAGGAGAAATCCATAAGGTTACTATGTGTCCAAATATGTGAGCAATGACTAAAAAGGGCCTGGACCTGTTCATGAGTGTGGTGGTTGTTAAGTGCCATCAAGTCACTTCTGACCCATAGTGAACCTGTATAGGGCTTCCAAGGAGAAGGTGAGCTTGGACCACTGACCTTGTGGTCCAAACCGACTTTGCAGTCCAGTGCATTAACTCAGAGTGCCACACCAGGACTCTAGGCCCAGAGACAGGTGAGACCACCTTACAGTTCTCTTGGGAACTCAATCATATAAAAGCACAGATATCTCCTTATCACATAAATATTCAAATGTTTGTCACAATATTTTCCCTGTATCTCTCTCTCTTCAGAAAATTCCCCAACCCTTTAGAAATGTTCATACAAGCAATTAATATCAATTTGAGATGGATGTCTTTGACCTCTTTCTTACCTTTTCTACTTTGTGCATGCCTCAGGAAAAACATGATCTCTTGGAACATAACCAGTACTCTTGAATTAATGAGTCATATGTGGAACTATTCAGGATGAGGACAGGAGTAACAAGAACAGGAATTCCTCTCACTGTAGCTTTCTAGGTACTTATACTTGAGTTATAAAGAACACAGCATCATCTGCCAAAAAGAGTTGGAGCTAGTGCCATTGCCCATAAAGTACTGGTCCTTTAGAGAGAGGGTCATAGGCAACTGCCTCTTTTGTGTTTTGACTAATCTGATATCACTGATGGGAAAACAAATTCAGTCTTACTGAGTTCTTTCTTCATTCCAATTTAAACATCTCCAAATCCAGCGGTAGTGAGGTTGGCCCAGTGTTAGACATTGTTTTGTTCTGCTGTGCATGGGGTCACTATGAGTCAATTCCGACTCGATGGCACCTGACAACAACAACAAATCCACCTTGGTGTGTCTCAATCTTCTTTATTATTATATAAGGGGCTTCAAAAATTTTGATGAAAATTTCCGTAATTTTTAATTCCATTTTGTCATGAACTTTTTGAAGGCCCCTCACAGTTACTAGAATATTACACATTATCCCCTTTCCTCCTTATCTCAGCCCTGTTAGACTGTAATTTCCTTAAGGGTATCAAGGTGTCTTAAATATATACATCTGTAACACAACACATAGAGTTACCAGTTGGGACATATATGCAGAATTAGAAAATGAAATTACTTTCTGTTAATTAGGGGTGGAAAGTAATGGTTTAAAAATCTATAAAACTGCTTTTAAAAATGTTCTCAGATCCAGAATGTGTACATGGTCCAATATGAAAAAGGACTGAGGAGAAAAATGCAGGCCATTATCTCTTCTGCAACCAGAAGAGAAGAGGTTAGTGAAATCTGTCTGGGGCAGTGTGAAGAAGAAAGAAAACTTACCGAAGACAAACTGAACAATCTTCGTGTAAAGCTGGCAGTATTGCTACAGAAACTTCAGCTGGTGAGTGATGGCACTGTATTGGAGTAGTAGGGTTAATCTTTATGCAAAGTACTGACTAGCTAACATTAGCACCATTTAACAAGTCTCTTAATGTGTCCCTTACTCTCTCTTTGTTGTTGTTGTTGTTAAGTGCCGTTGAGTCGGTTCCGACCCATAGC